GGGGGGGGGGAGAGAGAGAGAGAGAGAGAGAGAGAGAGAGAGAGAGAGAGAGAGAGAGAGAGAGAGAAATCAAAGGAATCTATCGCTAGAACATGGAAATATACATTGCACACATGCGCGCAGCACACCAGACGTGCGCAGGCACTGCGCACTGCGCACCCAGATGCCCGGCGCGCGCCGGTGCGCGCGCACCCTGGGTCCGCGCATAGCGCACGGCGCAGCGCACAGTGCTGGTGCGCCACAAGTGTGATATAAATTATACATTTATTATAGGGTTCAGCCTCCTGATGAGTCGGTGAAACTCCGATGAAACAGTTTGTCATAGGCCCTCATTTGTTGTCCTCTTCTCCTTCCCTCTCTATTGGGTAGCTCTGTTTGACGATATTTTGTGGCCATGGGCGCTATACTGAATGCATGGTCTTTTGTGGTGAGCGTTCTTCCTTCATTTTGGCCTGCAATCAACACGCCATTTGTCGGGGGTGTATGGTGGGCATGCTCAATGCCAGCCGTCGTGGCAATTGTTGCACTGAGAATGCTCAGCTAGAAGGTCTTCCGTGTGGTGTTCGTCCACCTCATCCTTACAATGTGTGCCCTCTCTGTTGTCAAGGACAGACTCATTCTTGAGTTTTTTCTTATCCTCTCCTTTGCCTTCATCTTCATTCCACACTTTGTACTTTCCCTTACTTTCTCTTTGTCGTGCTTTGTTTGTCGTCTCTCCACCTCTCTCTTCCCCCATGTTTATCCCCTCCCCCTTTACTCTGCCTGTTTCTCACAGCATACAAGTGCGCCGTTATGGTACACGGGGATGGGGCCAGTTCGCGCTCTATTTCATCGCCTTGTACGTGTGAGGAACAAGCCCTCAAGGGGCCCTATCAGACATCACATGTTCTCTGGGCTAAGGCCCCCAGCAAGCCGAGTGCTCGCCCTAAGTAAGTGAAGGCGGGCCTGAATATTCGTCAAAGGCCATAATTTGACACTTTCATATGTGGGTATTCAGGCTCTTGCAGCACGCCAGGTGGTTGAATGGACGCGCGAGCCTCACTAAGCTGCGTCGTACAGTTGGCCCAGGCCTTGACAGTTGCGCCTGGGCACATACACACAAAGCAGGGCCGATACATTGAGAAGCAGGCCATCGGCCTACGCAAAAGCAGTACTGTCGACGCACCTAGCCGGGAGCGCTGCACAGATGCAGCAAACAGCCCAAGTCTGGAGACTCAGGCCGTGCTCAACTGTAAATGGGGCCCCGGCCCTCAACTGTAGTCTCTGGCCTGGGCGCAGGGTCTGAGGCCCAACCGGAAGCTACTAGAAGCTTCCAGCCAGGCCACACACAGCATCTAGGAGGCTGCCACTTCCATAAAAGAAGTGAGGCAGCCCAGGCCAGGCATTCTGGCCAGTGCAGGCAATGCGGAAGTGCTGCTGCGCTATCGCTTGAAGCTGCGCTGCTGCCAAGGGCGCTGACGGGGCGCGTAGTGGTGAGGTGGGGCGCTGCAGGGCAGCGGGGCGCAGACAGCCATAGCCGGGCTGCTAGGCGCCAGGGGGTAATGCGGGCGATCAGGGGGTCCTCAGGGAAGGAGGCGAGTGTGGGGTAATCAAGGTCTGATTGAGGGTGATGAGCTACGTACCTGGTGCATGAAGAGAGGTCGGCTATGGTGTTGACAGTCATGTACATTGGTCTTCGAGAGTCGAAGTGAGCCTGTTGCGTGAACCAGCTGTAGGTAGGGTAGTCGGGTAGAGTAGGCTGGGCGCTGGGCGCCAGACAGAGAGGAGCGACTTCGGATCCTGTGTAGGTGTGGCCTACGGCAGGGTTGTCAACCCCCGGGCCCGGGGCCCCGGCGGGGGTCCCGGGGGTCGGGGGTCGGCACCCCCGACCCCAGAAAAAAAAACGCAAAAAAAAA